GAGTCGGCAATATCTACCGAAGATGTTTAGAACTTCCGCCAGTCTAGCACTGTTACTGGAGTACAAAAACTGATTACAGAGTTTGATGCCGACAAGGAAGATGTCCTGGATCAAAGGACTCATGCCCGAGTCAGGGACTATCTCATACTGGAGCTACTCCTAACAAACGGCCAACGTTCAGGCGCCATATCGGCTATAACGCTTGAGAACATTGACAAGGCCACGAAAGCCGATGGAGGTTTTCAATTGTCGATTTCTAATCACAAGACAGGCTTCCAGACTGTGTCAGTCCTTCGAATTTAGGAATCCTTGTTCTCACAGATGAAAACTTATTTAGAAATGACGTCAACAATACCATCGACACCTCAAACCATCTGCTGCCAGAGGCCAGTCTTTTTGTGGCTTGGCCACGACCAAACAGGAGCAGATGCGGGCTACCTTCCAGTCGCATAGCAACGGCAATAACTATAATCTGGGTCGAGGCTTGAGGGGATTGCGTCACATCAATGCAACCAAAATCCGTAAACTTGTAGTTACGGAATGCAGGCAAGCCGATCCCTCTTGTCGCAACAGCAGATGTATTCTATCAGCTGCACAACAGAAAACGAGAAGCCGTTAAGGCTACGACCCTAATAAGACAGGTGTTTGGGCAGGATCGAAATGCAACCAAAGACAAAGTAACACCGTCAGCACAAACTCAGGAGGAAGAGGAGGGACAACACGTATCTAACCGGGAATCAGACTGTCAAGACTTCCACCACGAAGGGGAAGTAACATCCGACGAAGATGATGAACCACTCGGGTCGAGGCGTCGTTCAAGAGAACAGACGGTTACAGAGTAATTCAATTATGCAGAACTCTAATCTCAAGCAGGAATGAGAGCATAACCCAAAATAAGTCGTTGCTCTTTTGGATGGATCTGACCTTCAGGAAACATACTCCGTCAAACAGCTCGCGGACCGGTCAGAACGGCCCGAAAAGGATGGCTTAAGGGGAAGTTATTACTCTGACACAATGAACTGACAGGAATTGTGACTCGTGCCTTTGGCCAAACATTGACAAAAAAATAAAAATAAAATATTAAAAAAATAAATATATATGGGCTAACAGAGCAGTGTCCCCGTCCCTAGCCTTTGGCCAAACATTGAAAAAAATAATCTTAAATCTTGTTTCTTTGCAAAATATTTTTTTAGACATTTTTTTGTTAACTTTTCGTCATTAAATTGATCCCAGTATCACCATATTAGCTCCTACTTTAAAACAAATCGGTCTGCTGAAACTTGACAGATTTGAAAACATTTTTGTGCTAATTTTAGATATGGAAAAGACATATTTTTCAAGAATTAATTTTGAAAGTCAGAATTTCCAGTTAAACTCTTAAAATGCAACAATTAATAGAACAATCCTGCTAATTTTCATTTTCCAGATTGTTTTTACTTTAATCTTATTGTTAATTATAAAAAAACTTTCAAAGATAATAAATTATGCAAAAATCACTTTAAATGTTGCTATGCTGCACGCCCACTTTGGACTTTTTCAGCATAACGAACAATGTCTAACCTTGAACTTTTTTTTTATTTTTTCAAAAGAATAAGTTTATTTATTGAAATAAAACGCCAAAACCTCTATAATACGATATTTATTTATTAAATATTAAAGTTATAAAGTAGCAGGGTTTACAATGTACCTTTTCAGCAAATCCAAATTTTGAAGGTTTACATCTCAAAAAATATAACTCTATAATTAAAAACGTACGCTTAGATTTTGATGCTGAATCAACATACGAAAGGCGCACAAAATCTATTTTATATGAAAAATCGGGTCTTTCAGCATAAAGAAAGTGGCCTCGTGAAATGGCCTATTATGCTGAAAAAAGCAGAATACAGGTACCGAGGTTACCTTTTCAAGTACATGTAGTCAAATTGTAGAACCAAAACGCATATGACGGTTTTTTTCTGCTAGTATTGGAATGCAACCAACTCTTGCTTTTCAATTAACAAAAAAATCATTCTTTATACATCTGTTGTAAAAACCATAACAGCCGAGAATTAATTCACCTCCAGTTTGCATACGGTGGCTCAGATTTATGCTATTTTGTCGGTTCGTCTTTTCGGGGCGAAAGAAGAGAACTAATAAGCCTAATTTCTTATTGTTTTACTTTTTCGAAGCGAAACGATGAAAGAAAAAGAACAAAAGTTTGCTAATTTATTCTCGTCTTTTCAGGGCGTAACATCAAATCAACGAGAGTTAAATTTAGTTAACTTTAATTAAGAGTTATCGGTTTCACTTTATGACAACAGAAACTAAATTATGCGAGATAGTCGTGGAACATTTTTTTTTATCAAACAGGCAGAATGATTATTATCCAAATATGTATACGTCCTTCTGGTGGCTACAAGTATTCACCTCGCTTTGTTTACGGTGCCTTGTATATGATTTATAAAGCTTAATTTGTTGTCGATAATTATCCCAAAGTCTTTCTCCTCCGCGGATCGTTTGTACGGATGTAGGCTATTTGCATTTTCACCCAATGCGGTGTTATGCATGTATCCGTGTGGCATTTTAGTAGCCATTTGTCCGACCATTACTGTAGATTGTGTAGCTGATCCTTCTGAAGATATCCATTTTCCTTGGTGTCTTTATATAATCTTGTGTCGTCAGCAAACAAACAATGATGGTCACAGTTCGCTGTTTTGCGATATTCCACCAGTGACTTTTAGCCAACACATCAAACGTCCATATTAACTACTGCGATACCCCCCAACAATGATTCTCGGTAAGTCGTCCAAGCTGGAGTGTGTGGATCTCCCGTTCACAAATTTAATATGTAATCCTGTTTTACTTTGTGTTTATCCACATTCATAGCAATATCTTGTTCCAGTTATGTGTAGCTTTCCTTACGGGGTTCTCCATACTGTTTCTTTTATTTACAAACTCTACGTAATTATTGTAATCCTTAGTTTTAATGAATCTTTCCCAACATCTGTGTTTTCCCCTATAGCTAGCTTATTCTATACTTTCTCTATATCTAACATTTGTTTATGTCTCTTCTTTCTCACTTTTAATCTAACTCTGTGCTTTTATCTTCGGACTGTTTGTTTGACCAGAGACGTATAATACATGTATTATACGTCTCTGGTTTGACACCCTTGATAATTTACAGCACGATAAATGTGTTGTTCTCGTATTTTAGACATGTCTCGGTCTATGTGTTTTTACCAACACCTTTTGATTTTTCCGCAGTTGCTTTGTGCGTTGTGGATTCGTTTAAACTGAAAGGCGGTGCATCGTTAGAATTCTGAATTGACCACCATGTTTTCCTTACCTGTGAGTAGTATAAAGCCTATGATGCTTACCCTCGCGGAACCTGCACATTGTTGAAGAAGACTTTTGTCCCTGATAGTTGTAATGAATCTCGTTTTAATCTTAATTGTTTTCTGTTGTGCAGTTCATCCATGTGATATTCCTATACTCTGTAGTTAAAAGTTTCCAATAACAAGCTATTATGGATATTTGAAGTTTCCTACACCAGGTAATAGATCGTTTAATCTGTTGTTATATTCCTCGCTGCTGCTCGAGTCCAAAGCTTATATCAACATTCATTAGAAGTAATATTGACATGGATACTCCAGTCGCTTTTAGACTTGATGTAGAGTGCTGTTCCTCGTAGTCCATTTTCTCCACAAAGGTTATCTATAAATTAGTCGTATCCATCTAAATCTACTGTTTTTAGGCAATACTTCATTTATACCTATTGCGATCGCCTTTTGTCCGGCGTAGTGCGTCCGTAAACAATTTACATTTTCAACTTCTTCTCCAAAACACCTGAACTAATTTCAATGAAATTTTGCAGAAACCCTCCATGGCCAAAGGTCAACCAAAATTGTGAATTATTTGACCCCCAGCCCCCAGGCGCCTGAGGGGCGGGCCAAAAATGGTCAAATTGATTAAAATTTCTAAAATCTTCTTCTCAAGATCCAAATATAGTAGAATCAAATACTCTTCATAGATGGAAGGGTCTTTACTCTTGAGGTGCTTTACCAAATTTCAGCCAACTTACAGAGTGACGAAGCGCCCAGGGAGTTGAGAAAGATATTGGCGAGATGCTTAGATCCACTTGTTCCAGTCTACTCAGCTATAAATGAGTACGTAGTTGGGCAGTGCTAGAATTATAGAATGCTAGCTGTGAGCGCCAAAGCGCCCAGGGAGTTAAGAAAGATATGGCTGGATGCTTAGGCCCCATAACCATGGATAATAATTTGTGAACCGCTTTGAGACGACGTACTAGGTTGTTATAAAGCGGTATATAAGAACCTCAAATTATTATTATTATTAACCCAGTCCTCTATATGTTTCCAGATCTCTTAACTAACCTTAATGACCTTTTCCTCTTCAGACAAATTGACGAATTTCATATGTCTACCCTGGAGGTTTAACTTTTGAGGTTTTTGTATAATTGTAATTTATTATCTATTGTTTTCATAAGAATAAGACAGTCTGTTATGATAATTTCATACCATGCTGTAATTAATTGTCGGACCATGCCATACATCAATCCGAACATTCAGAAGATCTGAGAACTCCTCTCCTAATTACAGAGCTAGTCTCTGGAAGACCCCAGAGGTGTATAACTGTTTGTCTGCACCGATTTCCTCAATAACTATTCTTTTCCTGCTCCTCAATGTCAATCACATGACCAAATAAACGGAATTGCAAGGTTTCGGAGAGGTGTGTCAATATGGGCCGAGCCCTAAAGGTCAGAATATTCACCTCTGTCATATTTTTTAGCTGTACGTCCCAGCTGTGAACAATGGACACGAGTCAATCTTTGTTATATTATATTGTTATGATGTGTCTTGAACAGAGCCAGGCAGAAATAGTGCACCTTTCAGAAGTTTCCATGTTAATCTTTTTGTTTCTATTTTAATTTTTAGTTTTGTCAATTTTTAGTTTAAATAACAGTTTTGTTGTCATTTCAAAAAAGAACAAAACACAAAGTATATTTTTATTTATCTTTAATGTATTTTTCCTGAATTCCATTGAACTATAATGGGCTATACAATGATGAAGATGACAGAAAACAACATGTTTTAATTCTCCCTACAGACGTGATTGTACTGAATGACCCAGGTCCTTACCCTCCAAACAAAAAGGAGAGTAAACCGAAGACTGTACTCTCGAAACAAAACGAAGTTGACCCGAAGCTCTCAACAACATGGTGAGAATAAGCATCAAAAATAACAACACTATACTTTGTACATGATCATAATAAACATTTAGCCTGGCCAGACAGTTGTTATTAATGAAAACAAAAAACTTATGTATGTTTATGACACAGTAACAATATAACAAAAACTTCAAAATCACGGAACAAGGCAATATACCAACACAGAAAAAAGGTGACAATTGATGTTCTCGGGGTGAAATAAAAGTGTTTTACAGGTATCATGACGGAAAAAGAATAAGATATTTCCTCGTCTCAATGTTTTCAAATATATACAGATTTATTTTATAGAGCTATATGTTATGTATATATATATATGTTTTTAAAAGACAAATCATGTTAGCACTTGATGGAAATATGAAAATAGGTAACAAAGAAGAGGGAGTTAAATGCATGACAAAACCATCATTTTCATCAAAACTGATTTAAGGGAAAAACAAACAACGGATAGACAGGAGACAGAGAAAACAATACAAAGTAAGGACAAGAAGAAAAACAAAGTTTACATGTTCATGCATGGAAACACATTCATGCAAGACATTTTAAACAAATTATCCACCCCTTATATTGGATTGATTCATAGAACTGAAAACCTGTCACAAGAACAGGAATTCCCTAATACAAACTGTCCATCCCTTGGACTGAGAGTTTTCAATATAAACTCACCACTTCAAGGATTGCAAGTCTGCACAGAATTAACTAACCTGATCCTAAGACCGAATTTCTGGCTACGGCAGAAATTGCATTTATTGCCCTCTTGTTTTTCTTGCAGAATCATTGAGAAACAACGACAAAATTCATATTAGCATTGAAAGCATAAACACACTCTATTTTCCCCCAAGTACGAGGTGTCCGAATCATAACATTTACAACCACAAAACAACTTAGCCTGAACCAGATAATGCGTTTCTTCAACAATGATATATTTGATTTGTTGGGTGCTATTACCTTATTTTGTTGTCTTTGAAATGGCAATAGGGCATTTGATATTTTAAAAATCAATGTTACAAATGAAAAATTGTAACTTAAACATTGTTTCTGTGAGAATTTAACACAGTAAAGGGAGATAACTAAAACAAATATATTTTTGCCTTAAGGCACATTTAAATCTTATTTAGGAAGTTTTTTGTAATAAAAAGTATCAATTAACAATTTTCAAATCATGTATGTTTTTTTAAAATTTGTTTAGAGAGTATGTGCAGTTTTGAACACAACTCTATTGAAATACATTTTCTGCAAATGGAAAATTAAAAAAACATTGTGCTATAAAACCTGCATGCGGACAGATTTTTGACTTCCTTTAGAAACAGTGTGTTTCCATGTACGTTTTTTCCTTGGATCGTATAACAAAATTTGAACGTTAACAAAAAAAGCTATGTTACATTCAGATTTATGAAATACACTTTTTGTATTTCATAAATTATTCCTTCTCCCATCAAACAAAAAAAAGCATTATCTGGGTTTTCAAGTTCAGAGAGAAGTTATTATGACGTCAAACTGTTCTTTATTGTAGTGACATTTAATTTGTGAGAAATTGTGTTGCCAAACATTTTATATTTCCTAATCTATGAATATTACCTAAGATATTTAGGAAATATTCATAGATTAGAAAACATAAAATAAATTTAATGAACAAGCATGGCCGAGTTTTTCAAACTTTTAGATGACATATATTCTGTTCAACAAATGTCATATAATTGAAGGAACTATTTTCTGAACAATTTCGCCACAAAGTATATGTAACCCAAGCATATATTGCATAAAGTGGCGTTTACATATCATTTAGGGGTATCCATGTATGTAGTTCTCTAACATTTCTATTACCGGGCAAAGATACAACACTCCCCCACCCCCAGCAACATCGATCACTTCTTTTCTTACTTTTAACGTAATATCAATTCAATCAAGTTGCATTATAATATATCAACTCTGTGCTGTTTCCATGACAACAGATAAAAGCAGAACATCACCGGGAATGCAGTTATCTCCCCTGACATTTTCCATTTACAACACAAAAAGAAAAAAAATCATTTTACAAAGAATTTTGTGTTGAACTAGACCCTGTTACCTCTATTCTGGTGAATAGTTCCAACATCAAAGCCAAGTACACTCAGCAAAAGCTTAACAGTAATCAGCAAATGATTCATAACTTTATTTTGATGAAAAGAATCAAAAAAATAACATGGTGTTATCTTCATATATCACAAAACAGGCTTTCAGTGTCTTAACTCATTCACCCCTGAAATTCCATAATGAACTACCTGGGTATTCCAACCTTTGAATTGGAAGAGTTCAAATTTGTCCACGGGGGTAAATGAGTTAATTACAGGAAAAGCTTACTGTTCTGAACTCAATTTCTCCACATTCTTTCAGCCTTAATATGCTAGCAGGTTCTATCCCGGACATGTTAAGCTTCCAGCTAACTGTATCTATTATGCATTTGAAAAATAAAACAAACAAAACAACTAGCACATGTATTGTATACAGGCTGCAGCCTTTACCTATGTACAGGGGTCTGATTAACCCTGCTCTGTGTCGTTTCTACCGGTCATTTACCTGTAAAATAACTGTGTTCACTAAGTGCAGCAGCACCAGCACTATAAACAAACTATCTAAAAGTAAATGGAGAAGACTTTGTCAATCTTGTTTTAACATGTTACAAATTTTCTTTGAACATTACAAGTAAGAATTTTTTGTTTTGAAAATCAAAATGTCTGATAAAATGTTTGTCTTCTCTGATGACTATTTTGAATTCTGCCATTAATGTTAAATCATAAAATTCTATATTTTTGAAAGTGTGCTGATTGAAAACTTTTATTCCCTGAAGGACCTAATCACTGACTTTGCTAGAGCTCTATATATCTTTTCTATCACAACCTTTAATTAACATCTGAAGGACAGTTCACCCTAGTGGAACAACACATAGAGGTGTGATTAACCTGACACTAGCTAGTGGGAACTACGACTGGAGGCGTAATTCACCTGACACTAGCTAGGTGGAACTACGACTGGAGGCGTGATTCACCTGACACTAGCTAGGTGGAACTACAACTGGAGGCGTAACTCACCTGACACTAGCTAGGTGGAACTACAACTGGAGGCGTAACTCACCTGACACTAGCTAGGTGGAACCACAACTGGAGGCGTAATTCACCTGACACTAGCTAGGTGGAACTACGACTGGAGGCGTAATTCACCCGACACTAGCTAGGTGGAACTACGACTGGAGGCGTAATTCACCTGACACTAGCTAGGTGGAACTACAACTGGAGGCGTAATTCACCCGACACTAGCTAGGTGGAACTACAACTGGAGGCGTAATTCACCTGACACTAGCTAGGTGGAACTACGACTGGAGGTGTAATTCACCCGACACTAGATAGGTGGAACAACGTCAGAGTGTACACCTGAAGTAAGCGATGGTGTTGCCCTGGTTATTAGTCCAGTTCAGATGTTTCTGTCCTATGACCTTTTGCCCTATGTCATTATCACTACAGTAAAACATGCAGACAACCATAGTTTCATTTACCATCCCTGGTAAATAAGCGTTTCACTCAATCCTCATTTACCATCCCTGGTAGATAAGCGTTTCACTCAAGTTTCACTCAATCCTCATTTACCATCCCTGGTAGATAAGCGTTTCACTCAATCATTGTTTTTAGCCTTTTTGAATATTTATTCTGAGAATTCTCACATAGAATATGAGTTTAATTAAGCTATCACTTCAACTGTCTTATAAAAATCTACCATTGTTTGTCAAAACAAAACAGACTTATTTCTGCAATGTTTTAAATTAATTGTACAAAACGACTACTGTTGATACTTGTACTATCACCATGTTAATAATATTTTATTTTTATTGCATAAAAATCCATTACTTCCATCTTCTGTTTTAACACCTGAATCTAACCACTACTATTGTTATTACTCCACTTGATATGCTGCTGCATGTCCCACCTCATTACCCGTATGAAGATTTCCCGGTACAATTTTAAATTTATTTTTATCCATTGCCGTTCTTAAAGAGAACAATGATGCAAGAGAAAACACACAAATAGAGACACAACATGTATAAACATATCACGACAAATCAACCGGTATTGATGTTTTACGAGATAGAACACCGAGCAGTAGGTCTGGCCCTAGCATCCTAATCTCTTAGTGTCAATGTAACATAATACTAGTCATATACAATGTCTGGCCACGTCAATCGCAACAAAAAAAATACATTGTTCTCCGACCATCACTGCCGCCGCCATCGGAGAACAAAGTGACTCCATTTCAACATGAATCAAAGACCTGAGTACACACGTAACATTGAATATTGCAAATTCATCTATTTTTATCGTAGGAACGCTTTTGAGCAAGTCTCATATGACCCGTTTAGCATGTTTGAAAAATTGTAATCAAATTTACCTAGTATAATAAACAAAACTGATTCATTGTTATTTATTATCATAACTCATTAAAATACTATATTCGAAAAATACTATTGACGTCTATTAGTGGATTTTTCTAAAACTAAAATAATACAGAAGAAACATGCAAGCGTAAGTTTAAGAAACTACTCCCCTGTCTACAGACAAATGTCCATTCCCTTTAGTCAAAGAGGGGAAAAATCTCCATTGACAAGGTTCTGAAGTATACTGATGGTAAAATGACTGTATTGATTTAAATTGAAATGTAGGTATTTCATGATCAAAGGATCTAAATTTAATTTTAAAATATATATTGAAATATATGTAGCTAGATATTACCCATAATGCAACATATGCTACTTTATTTCATTAAAATAGAAAAATGGATAAAAATATGTTCAAGAAGAGGACATTTCTATAACTACCTCCAATAAAATTTATTAGTCTACCATTCCTTTTATTTTCCTAAACTATTCAATTGATAGAAGAAGTTTAAAAAAAAAACGAACAAGGAAACAAAGCCATTTAATGTGATCTATAAGAAGCTGTTCTTTCTAACAATGACCTTATAATGGGACCTTTCTTGTCAGTGATCTAACAAAATTTGACTTTTTAAGTCAATGACTGCATATAGAATTAGGCCTTAAAACTCATTCACCCCTGAAATTTCATAATGAACTATTCCAACCTTTGAATTGGAAGAGTTAAAATGTGTCTTCAGGGGTGAATGAGATAAAGACTAAATTGAACTTGTCCTTCCAATCAATGGTTTTCTAGCTTTAAAAACAATACGGAATTTGTCCCTTTTCATAAAAAGGTGACATTTCCTGCCAACAACCTCATAAAATTTATCGTTTTCTTTTCAGAGTCCCTATATTACATAACTTGTTTTTTTTCATGAATGACCTACAATTTGACCTTTATTGATAATATTCTTACACCAGGTTGAATATGACCTTATCTTATCCTTAATAAACCTATAGAATATCGTCTTTCGATGACTTTACAGAATTTGAATTTTTATATTAAGGAGAGTAAAGTATTATACTTTTTCTATTATAAAACTGTTAATGATAAAGACACTACACTTAGTTGGCAAGAGATTTAAAATTAAAAAAAAAAATGAAACAATTATCACAAGTATGTACTACAGCTAGAGGTGGCGAAGACATGTATACACACATAACATATATATATAATAATGCACTGTTCCTAGGATAAAAATAGTTCCAACGAATTCAGCTTCTTTTTTTGTTTTATATTTCTCTTCTGTGATAACAAATAAAAACAAAAAAAGAAACAAACACTAAAAAACCCAAGTGTGTTATATATATACATATAACTCCCAAGTTACATTGTAGTTTCTTGCTATCACTTCGGGAAACAAAAATAGTTTTACAATCTGAATGAATATGAATAAAATGAAGGGATGCACGATTCATTATACCAATAGTGTGTAATTTTACACAATGTTACTTTAAATCATCAAATGGATGACTAATCAGACATACATTTGATATATAATATATATGTGGACATGACTTATATACATACAGTATATGATATACACTTTACACAGTTTAATTCCTCCCCCCTCCACACACAAACTTCTCTGACAGAAGTTTTAGTGTGAGGCTAGTCACATGTACAACCTCAAACTCGTACAAACAGCCTCTGTTTTGATTATGGTTTTCTATGAAGAAATACCTCAACATCACTGGATCAGGCTTAGCTGGCACGATCCATTATTATTTGCCCTAGATAATGAGTATATATTATGTGAGCTCCGTGTATTTCCATAATATAAGTGTTATTGATATCCTGTATGTCAATGAGTTGTCTGCTGATCTTCCTCACTGCCGTCGAGTCGACTGAATTGTAAACCTCTACAGCATTCAGTCTCGGTTCAGACGTCGTTTTCCAACTTGACAAATATATCTGGGTATCATATGTTCACACAAACTTCCCTCGACTAACTTCCCTCGACTAACTTCGTTGTAATGTAGCAAGAGCCATCATTTTGATTTTTAAGGAAAACATCACTTGAATAATTGTCTCTACAAAGACATCGCCTACACAAACACATCCATCCCGTCACTTAGTGGCGTCGTGGAGGAATTAGTCCCGACCAAGGTCAAAGGTTGTGAGATCTGTATGCGGTACGTACATACTTTTGGTTCACACTATGTATAATTAAAGGCAAGAACACAATTTGTGTAACTTTAGTTGTTTCCGTCTGTTTCTAAGGCATTAGCTTAATCAAATCTAAAAATAAGGGGGGAGGGGCCTACATATTAGCTGCCTAGCAAAATTGTCTCACATGTCATATATAATTTGTATTTAATGTCACGATTATCCTCATTCTGAATAGTACATGAATTCTGGCATTAACAGAAGTTTCAGTATGTCAAAATAATAGTGTTCTTTTGTGAGAGGCATGGATGATGCTAATATAGTACAGCGGACTGTACGTGTTGAAATGGCCATTACTTTCAAACATTTATGGTGAAATAGAAATTGGACAACCACAGGATCCAGCGACGACACGGAGAATTGAAGACAAAATTCCACAGGAATTATTTGGTCTATCTCAATGATAACAGACACCTACAGAAATCTATACTTCTCCATTGTTGTCGTGTAAAAACGTGGTACATATCTTCAGATACGAAAAATATACACTTACTTCATAAGTATACATAGTTTTAAATGAAGAAAAATCCCTGGTTTATTGTTGTTTGATTAGGCACTTTGTGCTGTAGGCCGTACCCTGCAGTACTGGCCCACGCACATTGATTGGTTCCCAAGGCCTGGGAGAGTAGCAGAGCTGTCCTTGATCTTCGTATCTCCTCCACTATTACCTCCGAACACATCCTCCTCCCCCTGGTCTTAATCCTTCAGTGCCACAGTCGCAAAGTCAACAGGGGAAGGAGATATTCAACACTGTCACACTGGATGTACAGACAACTCGGCCACACAGTGCTGTGTATGGTAGCCATATTGTCTCTTGTTGCCAAAAACTTGCCACACATTGCTGTGTGTGGTAGCCATATTCTCCGTCAGCTCACCACAGTGGGCTCTGTATGGTAGCCGTATTGTCCCTGGCCACATATAACTCGGCCACACAGTGCGGTCACCACACCACATCACAAGACACTGTATGCCTCTTGCTTTGTTACCAAAGTGTCACTAAACACTGGGTGTCTGTCCTTGGTTACCATATCCGTCACTAAGACACTGGGTGTCTGTCCTTGGTTAACATATCAGTCACTAAGACACTGGGTGTCTGTCCTTGGTTACCATATCCGTCACTAAGACACTGGGTGTCTGTCCTTGGTTACCATATCAGTCACTAAGACACTGGATGTCTGTCCTTGGTTACCATATCTGTCACTAAGACACTGGGTGTCTGTCCTTGCTTACCATATCCGTCACTAAGACACTGGGTATCTGTTCGTGGTATCCATACGGCTTGACACTGTGTGTCGCTATTCAGTGTTAACCACTGTCTCATTTTCATCACCTCCACTAGTGGATTATTTCACACTAAAGACACTGTACCCCTGCATCCCTGAAGGAATGTTCGTAACTCTGTGGATTTGATCCACAAGCTGACTACAATCAAGAAATCAAAATCTTCGACTGTTGTCCATTCCTTCGTCACGGAGCCTTTTGTGAAACACGTCTCCACACCGTACACATGAATTATAGTCTCTGTGGTCCTCAGTAACACACCACATATGTAAAAGAATTCATACGTATTGTTGTCTTCGAATGTGGATTCAATTCCCCAAAATATTTGTTAACATTAAGTGGATTCTGTCTTCCACATGTAGAATCTCTTCACACTTGGTTCCATCTTTAACACAGATGCTCATCACATTTCACAGAGTTGGTCGTCCATGTATGGAATATCCCACACTGAGTGGATTTTCCTTTCCGAAGTGTGGATCTGTCCTCGCGGATCTGTCCACACTGAGCGGAATCTGTCTATAACCCGTGTTAGTCCAGCCTTACTGACAACAAGTCAACATAAAAATAACAATAAGAATTATCAGACTCTAAATCTGGCGTTTCGTCATTCCGAGGAGAGAAGTTGCTGAAGAAGACTGTTCTTGTGTTCCGCCGGCTTGATGTCCTCGCAGTTCGTCTGCAACACAAAACAGCATCAGAGTCTACTTGTTTAAAACCATATCAGCTCACAAGTTTTCACATAAATTTACATGGCCTTAACAATCTATCAGTTGAGACAAACTTTTAAAATGCAATTTTTGAGAAATATTTGAAAGTATTTTTGAATTTCTTGTATGCTGACAAAATTTGTGTATCTCTATACATTCAAGTTTATTTCTGCATTTTACTATTTATTAAACGATCTAGGACAAACATTTTGTGTTATCCCAAGGGTTGAGATTTCTCAAACTACATAAAACCGGAGGGATCAAATATTTTCCCCACACTTCCCTACCATAGAAGCATGTTGTAATGGTAAACCGAGGCCATTATCAAGAACTTCTGTTAACCAGTTTGTGTATGAAAGGGTGGAACCTTTTACAACCATGGTTAAGTTTCAAATCTGACATGGATGTAGTTAAATGAATTCTGATAAAGGTTGTCATGTTCCAAGAATTCAGCAAATTAACCATGTAAACTTTGGATATGGTTTCAGTATAGCACCCCTGTCCCCCCGTAGAACTGGGGGGTTCCTTCTGTGCCTCCTGTTTAGGGGTTTTGAAGAAACCACAATTGATATGCCCCTTATTCCATATCCAGGGATCTGTATCTGTTCTTACTTAACCTACATGCACTCTTGATTTTCGGCTGTGTCTCCCTGGGCACCCATCTAAAAATAACCCTAGCTGTGTCTCCCTGGGCACCCATCTAAAATTAACCTTAGCTGTGTCTCCCTGGGCACCCATCTTAATATAACCTTAGCTGTGTCTCCCTGGGCACCCATCTAAAAATAACCTTAGCTGTGTCTCCCTGGACACCCATCTAAAAATAACCTTAGCTGTGTCTCCCTGGGAACCCATCTAAAAATAACCTTAGCTGTGTCTCCCTTGGCACCTATTTAAAAATAACCTTAGATGTGTCTCCCTGGGCACCCATCTAAAAATAATCTCAGCTGTTGCAAGGATGTTGAACCCCAATGAAGGTTTCAGTATTGGCACTAAAAGGATTTATGTCTAAGAAGAGAATTTTGACGGTAGAGTTATCTTACCCTTGGTTCTTTTTGCACCACTTGGACCTTGAGTCGGTCCGTGAGTCCTGGCTGTCTCCCCCCTGACCCCGCCTGCTGGCCTGGCTGTAACAGCTGTGCTCTAAATAAAGATGTGGCCTTCACCTCGGGGTCAGATACCGCTGAAAAAATATCATAGCATTCAGTGAAGGCTGCAGTGCTTACGTGGATCTAGACACGCTTACGAGGATCTAGAAACGCATACTAAAGACACTGTTTTATACATTACAGTAAAATATTATATCAGGCTGCAGTGCTTACGAGGATCTAGAAACGCATACTAAAGACACTGTTTAATACATTACAGTAAAATATTATATCAAAGATCACAGAATGTAAATAAATGAATATAACAAACTGTCACTGTATACTGTTTTATACATTACAGTAAAATATTATATCAGGCTGCAGTGCTTACGAGGATCTAGAAACGCATACTAAAGACACTGTTTAATACATTACAGTAAAATATTATATCAAAGATCACAGAATGTAAATAAATGAATATAACAAACTGTCACTGTATACTGTTTTATACATTACAGTAAAATATTATATCAGGCTGCAGTGCTTACGAGGATCTAGAAACGCATACTAAAGACACTGTTTAATACATTACAGTAAAATATTATATCAAAGATCACAGAATGTAAATAAATGAATATAACAAACTGTCACTGTATACTGTTTTATACATTACAGTAAAATATTATATCAGGCTGCAGTGCTTACGAGGATCTAGAAACGCATACTAAAGACACTGTTTAATACATTACAGTAAAATATTATATCAAAGATCACAGAATGTAAATAAATGAATATAACAAACTGTCACTGTATACTGTTTTATACATTACAGTAAAATATTATATCAGGCTGCAGTGCTTACGAGGATCTAGAAACGCATACTAAAGACACTGTTTAATACATTACAGTAAAATATTATATCAAAGATCACAGAATGTAAATAAATGAATATAACAAACTGTCACTGTATACTGTTTTATACATTACAGTAAAATATTATATCAGGCTGCAGTGCTTACGAGGATCTAGAAACGCATACTAAAGACACTGTTTAATACATTACAGTAAAATATTATATCAAAGATCACAGAATGTAAATAAATGAATATAACAAACTGTCACTGTATACTGTTTTATACATTACAGTAAAATATTATATCAGGCTGCAGTGCTTACGAGGATCTAGAAACGCATACTAAAGACACTGTTTAATACATTACAGTAAAATATTATATCAAAGATCACAGAATGTAAATAAATGAATATAACAAACTGTCACTGTATACTGTTTTATACATTACAGTAAAATATTATATCAGGCTGCAGTGCTTACGAGGATCTAGAAACGCATACTAAAGACACTGTTTAATACATTACAGTAAAATATTATATCAAAGATCACAGAATGTAAATAAATGAATATAACAAACTGTCACTGTATACTGTTTTATACATTACAGTAAAATATTATATCAGGCTGCAGTGCTTACGAGGATCTAGAAACGCATACTAAAGACACTGTTTAATACATTACAGTAAAATATTATATCAAAGATCACAGAATGTAAATAAATGAATATAACAAACTGTCACTGTATACTGTTTTATACATTACAGTAAAATATTATATCAGGCTGCAGTGCTTACGAGGATCTAGAAACGCATACTAAAGACACTGTTTAATACATTACAGTAAAATAATATATCAAAGATCACAGAATGTAAATAAATGTATATAACAAACTGTCACTGTATACTAGGACATTTTCACTGCAGTTTAATTTTCGCTTTTTTGCACTCTGCACTGAGGGTGAAGTTATCATTACAGCAAGCAGTAGTCAACAACGTCATTTACATAGTGATTAAATGTGAAGGGCGAAATTAAAACTGGGCGAATTTGGATTTCACAGACGAGGGCGAAAGTTTGACCTGTCGAAATTTTGCGGTCTACAGTGTTCAATCTACAGCAGAATTCCTCTTATTCTTTGTCCAAGTTAAAGAATACCATAACTTATTGTCTATTGAGAAATGATTTTCTTGTCCACAGAAAATTTAAGAGGTATTACTGGTTTACATAGTGAATCTGTCACTGGGTTCAAAAGTGTGAATTTGAAAATGATGCCTGTATAAGGTACTGACATGGCTCAGTGTACTGTCAGTCCAATGATCAGGTGTAATCCACACAGGCAAGTTTTTAACATCACAACCAATTAAACATAATAATGTGTACAATTTTCAGTATTTGAGTTATATTTATGATTTAAGTTATCAATAGTTCTTTAATGTAGTGTTTAAACTTGGTTTCCATGTCAACAGGGGACATGGCTTCTCTGAAGAGAAAAATAACGGTAATTTCATCAGAAACTAAAAGTAGCCTAATCCAAGAAGAATACAGCAAGAAAGGTGTCAAACGTACGTACTGCTGTAGAAGATGTAAAGCCTAATCTTTAAGCAACAGCTCGTATAAGTCAGGTAGACATTTTGATGGCGTATCACAGCAGTTGGTTGGTGAGAGACATAAAAGTACTTCATACAAAAAATGTTGAGAAATCTGTCCATGACTGGTTCATACAACCATTCTGTTGGCGCTCATTATTTCTAAAATAGATATTCCATTTCATCTATTTGGTAATAAGTTTTGTTGTACAAGTATAACAAACTATGGTTTTTACTAAGTTAGATGCAGTTTCTACCTGTCTTACCTGCTGGTTCTGGCTTTTCCAGTTTAGACAGGGCCTGGAACTGCTGATAGCGGTCCTTAGCCTCTAGGCGCTGTTTCTGGACAATCTCTTCTTCTTTGAAGTCACCAAGGTTGAGACCTCCCCGACTTTGTCCGGGATTAACACCGTGCTCCTTAGCCATCTCGTCAACTATAGGCAAAAACAATAGCAGCTCTATTAACTTTTTGTTAATTTTTTCCAAGATTTTCTTAATCTCATTAAATATTATTTTACACAATCCCTGAATAGAAACAAAATGAATTTTATTCATCAGACAAATTCAGTAATATGTCAGCTTGATATAGATAGGAGAATATATTTGAGAACTCTGCTCATTAAATATTTTAACAAAATCCATGAGAAGTAACAAAATGAATTTTTGCCTCACAAAATTCCTATAGATTAAGATAGCATGTTAGATTTGAGAACACTGCTGAAAGCACTGTAATATTGGGGTGAACGATATGTCTGTTGTGTGACAAGTCATTGTTCATCACCCGTGGCAAATGTTGTTACAAAATGCGGTAAATTACAGATTACAAAATACAACAAGAGGCCCATGGGCCTTAACGGTCACCTGATATATTTATACAGAGAGTTGATTTTGTTTTTAACATGAACAGAAATATTATTCAAAGTGACAAAAAACAATAAAACCACCTTACTCAATATCTAGCATACAGATTTCAGACTAAAAAGGATTTGAAACTAGCACCT